AAATGTGTTAATACTGCATACTATAATGAAGTTCAACATAAGGACTTGTTAAACTTTTATTACAAAAAATACTTTAAAATTTCTTCACATGAAATCTCTAGTAATATTATCAGATATTACCAGAGACAGAAAGTGATTTCACTTATTCATACCACAGTTGAAATTCTATAGCAGTATCATGTCTCTACTAAAAACAATTCAGTTAATTTTTATAATGATAATTATTTTCTTAAAATTATTCTCAGGTATGTCTTTCATCTTCAAATGTAGCTTCAATGTAGCTTATTTAATTTTTACTTGTATTTTAAAAATCCACCAATTTTAGTAAGCTTTTAATTTAGGCATAAATCACTGGAAAGTGAAAGAAAGTATAGAGCTTCTAGCAGAAGAAAAGCAATTTTGTCCTACCCCAAGTCTGCCTCTATCTAGTCCCTCACAGCTACTCCATCAAGAAAGAAGTATTCTGGGCTGGGGATTTAGCTCAGTGGTTCTGGTGCCTGCCTCGCAAGTACAAGGTCCTGAGTTTGATCCCCGGTACCTCCCCCCGGCCAAAAAAAGAAAGAAGGATGTATTCTGATTGATTAGATTTAACTGAACATTCCCCGAGCCATAGAGTCATAATTTTACTATTTTCTATTTTTACTATTATATGGGGTCACTGTGTGTTGAAAGGTACACAGCAATACGTAGTTCCCACATTCTTTCCTGCCCATTGCTTAGTCCTAAGTGCAGTGACTACCCTTGAAACCTGGACTTTAGGCTCTTTTCAGTCTCATTCCATGCACCAAGGTAAACTTAATCTTGAGAAACAAAGGACTATTTTCTGTCTTTCATCTACTGGTTCTGTGTGAATGAATCAAGCTGTATTTGGAATATACCAAATCTTGAGTGCTCTCTCCTCAGTGTCTTCCCTCATACACATATTTAGAAAATGCTAACATCCTCTAAATAAGCCTTCCCCAAACCTCTGAACTCAGGGTTATCAGGATGTAATTCTAAATCTCAGGCACTTTCTATATCTTGACAGATAATTGTACTTATGTTAACATTTAATATGGATTATTCACATGTATTTTACAATTTACACTTATATTTGCCTTCATGTATTTAAAACTAGGACAAGTAAGGCATTTAATCAAGGTAATTTAGGACTGTTGTTAGGTGTTTGTTATGTAGCATCACAATAAATGCTCATAATAGAATATTAAATAAAGTGATATACAACCCATGCTCTACTTTTCAAATAAGATTGTTAAAATAATGAGATTAAGAAAGTATAAAAAACTTAGTTTAATGTGCATGCTTGGTATTTTTGAGGTACAAAATAATGTAAAATAGGAAGCTTTACAGCATTAAGTGATGTATAGTTATTCATTTGAATTGTTTTATTTAAAATATCCAACTTGTTTTTCAAACCAAGCCAAAAAAAAGCTACTGACAGTAATTATTTAACTTTATTTTCTTTACTTAGTAATGTTGGGGTGTTTCAACTGATAATGTGGTGATATGATTTGAAAAACTAACCTGCAGCATTTGGAAATTAATGTTTTTATTGATTGAAATTAATATCTGCTTATCACATTTATTTGATGATTCTAAAATTGGATTAAAAGTTTCCAATTTTAAGTGAAAAAATTGGTATACTGTCCATTGGTTCTAAGTAAGGTTCCAGGTTTATTGTAAGAAAAAGTGAGAAATTTTGTAGCTCGTATTAAATGTATCATAACAGTGAAGCCTTGATTATCCTGTAAAAAATACAGGTGAACACATTTGTTCTTGCACACACACACACACACAATCCCAGGCCTGATACATTTTTTCCATACATTTGTCACTGTTTACGTTTTTTTGGTACCGGGGATTGAACTCGGGACCTTGCACTTGCAAGACAGGTGCCAGAACCACTGAGCTAAATCCCCAGCCCTGTCACTGTTTGAAAAACAAATTATTTTGAGTTTATTTTCTATCCCTTCTTCAATGCAAATTTTATGAGGGCAGAGTCTTAGTTTTTCATTCTTACTTTTACATTGCAGCTCAAAAACATATCCAAATTCTAATTCTGAAGTTCTCTTTTTTCCATTGTTATTAGATGCTAGTATCACATCATCTACAATGACAGAGGATGTGGCCAAGTTATTATTAGCATTCATTCTAGCAGTAGAGTTTTGGAATTTCACAGTTTTTAAGCTCCCATTAGTCCTGTTACTTTATGACAGATTGCCTCCAACCTCAAAAGTATCTGGACTCATTCGTGCACCATACATTCAAGAAATAGTTACTGATCATGTATAGTATTCCAGATACAGTGCAGGTAATTGTGGAGCCAAACATGATTAAGACACAGATTTATCTCTCAAAAGGTTCCCAATGTAGTGAGCTTTTTTTGCTTCTCACTCTTCAAATAGTGTAAATTCTATACAGCCAGAAATATCAGGAAGTTAAGTAGCACTGATACATGTGAAATTAAGTGTAGATTTGGACAGATGATTTTTCAAAAATCAAGTTCAGTCAAAGAAAGCATAATAATATTCTTTGGGATGTCAAATATACCCCTACAGGAGGCCAAATGAATGATGCTTTCTCCTTCAGCCATTGGCTTTATACAGACATGGCTAGGGCACTTAAAATTTCTCTACCAGGAAATAATGAGTAAACAGCAGTGATGGTGGGTGCAGGCTATTTACTGCCACGGAATGAAAAAATGTTGACTGCTTGTCAAGTATTTTGACACCGTGGGACAAAAAGTGTTGTTTAAATATAAAGAGCATTTGTGTTGAGTTGTTATTAGTCATCCTCATGAGGAAATGATCTGTCAAGTGAAAGACCAAAGTATAGGAGAACTGCCATAATATAAGATTGATTTTTGCTAAAGAGACGTTAAAGTCACTGCATGTTTCAATTTGTGGTTGCTTCCAGTCCTTTGTAAATTACCCACAGTTAATGCACAATATAAAAAGCTATTTGAATTTACTTTCTAGCATATCCTCTTGGGCACTTTTTCCTGTCTTTCTCTCTCAATCTGGAAAAGAGCAGTTGCTCTCAAGTTTTAAAGCATGAATTGGAATCAACTTGAGAGCTGTTCAAATCAGGGACTGTGGGACTCTGTCAGACAGTAAATGATGCAATAGTCTTCGTGAGCCTGCAGGCTTTCTTTCTAGCAAGTCCCTAGGAAATGCTTTTGCTGGTAACTCACAGTTCAGATTTGGCTAACTACTGAAGTAAAACTACTTGAGAAGAATGGAAGAGCTGTGCAGAGCTGACACCAGCCCCTGATCTTGCTCACCTTGCTGTCCAAGCTGTTCTGAAAATAATCACGGCTGGTTAGCAGCCTATGGCAAGCGAAAGGCCTTTCTCTCCATGAGAGATTGTTCCAGGGAAGCAGGTAGAAAGAATATTTCTAGTTTTCTCACTTTTAAACTCAAATTCACAGTTAAATTATTTAATGTCCCTCTGCTGCAGCCTTTCTCAGCTTCAAACAGTAAAGGTAATTTTTCTTCCCTGCCATTAAGAAACAAGACAAAATGAAATAAAAACCCATAAAGACAAACAAAACTTTGTAGAGACTTGTAAGACCAGATCTGTGCTGTATTTTATAACCAAACTTGTCATATCACTATTTAAAATTAAGAGTATATATTTTTCTATTTATATATACATAATGACTGCCAAAATGATGCCTGTTCTTTAATTAGTTATCAGTTATAAATTAGCTATGAAGAAAAAAGATATTCAAGAAAATCCACCTATAATAATGCAATAAATATATGATAACTCTAGTTTGTGAAATAAGTGCATCAGCCGCAGGGAAAATGAAACGTATTAGAGTAACTCAGGTAAACTATTTGTTCTTTGGTTAGAGACTCTGGAGATAGTGTAGAGAAGTTCTTTAAAAGAAAAAGAAGAGGACTCCAGTGCAGGGAGAAATCTAGTTGTAGTTGATGTCATTATTTCTTTTCTTTTTTTGTTTTTTTTCGGTTTTTTGTAATCTTTATTAATAACAAAGGTATTTGCATTTTTTGCTTAAATTCTTTTATTGATACATTTAAGGTATACAATATGTTTACATTTATCATTTGGTGCTTGAACCTATACATGATATATCTTGGTTCTTATTTTTTTCCCCATTACCTGTGCGCCCTTCACCCCCTCCACCCTTCCCTATTTACATAGACTTTGCTTCCATTTTTTTTCTTTTCTCATAATTTTCCTTTCCCTTCTTTCCTTTCCCCTTCCCCTCCCACTTCCCGTACCCCTTTGCACCTTTTCTTCCTATTTCAAATTATCAATTATTCATTCTAATCCTTATTTACACTTTCAGTTTCTCACACTAGAGAAACTATTTGGTATTTACTTAAGAATATGGCCTCAATATGCATCTATTTACCTAGTTTCTCATTCTTTATGGTAAGTAGTACTCCATTTTATTAAAAAACCACACCTTTATCCAGTTTCCAGTTGATGGGCACTTGGGCTGTTTCCAAGCTTTAGCTATTAAGAACTGTGCCACTATAAACATGGGTGCCCAGATATCACTGAGGTATGATTCTTTTAATTCTTTTGGGAAGATACCCAGCAGGGGGATAGCTGGGTCTAATGGGACCTCTAGCCCTGGTTCTTTGAGGTATCTCCATACTGATTTCCAAAGTGGTTGCACCAGTCTGCACTCCCACCAACAGTGGAGAAGGCTTCCTTTCTCCCCACACCACTACCAGCATTTGTTATTGGTTGATTTCTTGATAGCAGCCATTCTTTCTGGGGTGAGGTGGAATCTCAGTGTTGTTTTCATCTGCATCTCTGGAATGACCAGTGATGTTGAACATTTTTTCATATGTTTATTTTCTGCTTTTACTTCTTTGTCTGAGAAATGTCTGTTCATTTCAGATGCCCATTTTTGAATTGGGTCTTTGAATCTGGGGGGGTCTGATTTTTTTTTCAGTTTTTTATATATTCTAGATAGTAGTACTTTGTCTGAGGGACCCCTGGTGAAAAATTTTTCCCACCTTGTAGGTTGTCTCTTAGCTCTGTTGGTGGTTTCTCTTGCAGTGCAGAAACTTTTTAATAAGATGAGATCCCAGTTGTTGATTCTTTGTCATTACTTCTTAATGATGGTTTATAATCTAAAAAGGCACAAATACTGTTACTAGCCTGAAGACAAAGTGAAAACTGCGGAGTTTTGAAATTGAATAATTCAAGAAAGTAGGAGAAATGATTGAAATTATTGCTCATTCAATTATTTAGAGTCAAAAAAGTTATGTTTAAAATTTTTTTGAACTTTGGAAAAGTATATGTAAGAATTTCTGTTGGCATGAAATATTAGGTGTATATGGGCACAAATATTTACTTAATGAGCTACTGAAGTAAGATTACAAATGTACTACAATTCCACTGTAGAAAGAAATATATCTTTATTTAATCTATAACTTATCTGGGTAACTAGGGCAAAGCACACACACCTTTTATTCTAATACTGGAGTCTTACTCAACCCTCAAATCAAAATGTTTCATTCAGATAAAACCTCTGGGCCTCTAAGATTACACTTTCTTCTCTAATGCAATGTCCAATTGTATGGTAGAAAGGACTCACTATCTACACCCAGATAGGTCTCAGAATCTTGTCTACCAGTCATGAAGGAGTTGCAGATTCAGACCACTGCCTTTTTTACTCTCACTTCTGTGCCGACTTTTCTTTTTCCAAACCCCCTAAATTAGGGTTTAGTTTCCTTTAAGCTTCAAATTGGTAACCTCTTTATTCCTTGCACATCATGATGGTATTTTCCCTAGGTGGAAAATTCTTTGGATTCATCTATCTATTCCTCCAATGTGGTTTAAAAAAAACCAAAAAAGGTACAAAATCTCTCTCCATGAAGATTTTAGACTTTGAAGCTGAACTATTTGGCTGAAGTTACCAAATATCTGTTCTCTACTACTGATAGACATTTCGTTGGTTCTAAAAGGTAGAACCACAGGGGAACAACTCACTACAACAAGCTGTCTAAAGAACCCTATATAATTTGCAACCCACTCCACCACCAGCTCTCTGATTCTATTCACTATTCTTCTTTCTGTCTCCACAGCACAAACTCCAGCCTCCTTGCTGTTCTTTCAACACATTCAGAGAAGTCTCAAATTCCAAAACCATTGTACTTAGAAATTCATCATCTGAGAATGTTCTAAAAAAGAAATTCATATGCATACAAATAAACAGAATGTTATAATACAACATACTATAAAAATAGGGTAAAGCTGATCTCAAGACTGGTCAAATTTACCTTAACAAGGAAGCCTTGATCACCCCGTAAAAAAATAACTTTGTACATGTACATGTAGGTGAACACATTTGTTCTTGCACACAGACACTCACACACACACACTCTCTCTACATATGCCTCATCCCATCTCTGAAACATTTTTCTCCATATATTTGATCTTGGCTAAAAATAATATATTTTCAGTTTATTTTCTGTCTCTTCTCCCAATAGAATGCAAATCCTATGATATCATAATTTTAGTTTCTCGTTGTTACTTTTACATTGCAGGATTACAATGCAACAATTACTGAAACATAGAAGCTACTCAGTAAATACTTGTAGAATAAAAGAAAGGGGATATATCATACTAGATTTTATAGTGAAAATTTTGATGCCACTGGCACAAAATAGCTCTTATATTGTAGTTGTACTTACTCCTGGACAGTTCTTTCAAATCACTATTTCTTTTTATGCCTTTTTTGCTTTGAATCATGCTATGGCCTCTGCCTAGGAAGACTCACTTCTGAAACTTTCTGTTTCATTTCATTATTTTCTTCAAAACATGAATCAGATGCCATCTTAGAATTTCATAATAAACTCATTCTTTCTCTGTGTCCTCTTCCCTCCTCAGGTCTCTATGCTGCTATTTTACCCACTCTTTTTCTATTCCCCAACTTTACTATTGACCATTTTAAGGTAGGGACTATTCATTACTTTTGGTATCAGAAGCACTATACATGAATGCCTAGCACAAGACAACTATTAATAAATGTTGACTAAATGAACAACAATCCACCTTACATTTTTTTTCTCCTCATGATAAGCTATTCTTCATTGCTTTAAACTTCCAAAATTATCCTGAAAGTCAAGAGCATGGGCACTTATGGGAATAATCACTTTAATGATCAACCAAGTCAAAGTTTAGGATGTAGCAGAATAAATCTCATGTCCAGAAGAAGAGGGATTCAAGCTCATCAAGGGGTAGTAACAGTGATTCTATTCTTCATGCTACCATAAAGAAAACCACTGCTGTATTGAACAATCGACACTAATGAAACTGTCAGGTTTCTTTCGCATATATGGTAGTAGATCTAGATCCAACTCTTTTGAAAACCTTATTTTTGCACTTTACCTCACCCGGCATCATCAGTGTGTGCTGAGGTAACATACTAAGTTTACTATGTAATTGGTGTAGAAATTATTCCCTTGGGGGAGACAGGTGGTTAAATGTCAAAAACTTGCTCTAATGTTTGAGCCTGGGAGACAGGTAGAATTTAGAGACATTATAGTAGCATATGTGGCTTAGTCTTGCATGTGCTAAGATGAAAGTAGCCCATCTCAGCAGAGACACCTTACATATAACTAAGAAAAACACAACTGAGCATTGTGAATGAAAGCGGTTGCCTTGGCAGAAATGTGTTTCATCTGTTTCTCCCACATCTATGAGTGGATTATGCATGCTGTTACAAGAGGACATTTAAATATGAGTAATCTGAAACAAAAAAATTAAAAGATAGATAAAAAGGGGCAGAAAAATAAGATGAATGAATAATGAAAGGCATTAGTGGTATATTGATATGCTTGGAAATCAATAATGTGGAAATTAAGTAAATTAAATGTAGCCCTGACTATATAGAGGAAGAGGTTGATGAAATTCTAAATTGGATGGGCAAAAGAAATAATTTTGCAGTAATATTTGTGTGCCAGATCAAAGAAAGCAGTACATGATAAGAGATAAGAACAGTTACTCGTTTGTCAGATACTAAAATCTAAAGTGAAAATGAGAACACTGTCTCAGTGTAAGGGAAAGAATCCCCCTCAGGAAATGCTAGTTTCATAGAACAAAGACATGAACTGTTAGGTAAGAACTTGCCTGATTTATTCATAAATGACTAGACTCAACTTACTATTGTTCCTCATATTTCTAGGGAACTGATAAGCATATTCTCACCACAGTACTTTCATCTTTCATTTCCTCAACATAGAGAATATCTTAAGTCACCAACTGATTATTAAGTTTTATTATACTTTTTTCTCAGAGAATGTAAAAACTTTTTTTGTCCTTTTTTTTAAGCAGCAGAAAGCAGATTACAACCCAAACGCCAAATCCATTCTTAGACTTTTGCAATTTTAAAGGGTTGCAAAAGGAGTTGAGGATGTTGCTCAGTGATAGATGCTGTCCTAGCATCTGTGAGGCCCTGGGTTAAAGGAAAAAAGGGTTGTGAATAAGAAAAGAAGCATACACAACATATGCTTTATATAGCCCACAAAGACAAAAATGTTTATTAATTAAGGAAGTTCTCAAAATTAATTTATATATATAATGTGAATGTGAATACATATATATAACATATATATATATAGATATATGGCATGTAGAACTCCAAATAGTCAAGATCAGAAGAAAAAACCACACCGAGAAGGCATCCAATATATTTAATAGTCAAGATTCCAGAAATGCTACACAAGAGCAGAATCTTGACACAAGAGCAGAACCTTAAAAGCTGTTAGAGAAAATAAACAAATCATCTATAAAGGAAAACCCATCAAAATTATAGCATACTTCCAAACACAAACTCTAAACTCAAGGAGAGTTTGGAGTGATGTATTTCAAGCCCTAAAAGAAAACAATCTTCAGCCCAGATTGATGTCCTTGCAAAACTATCTTTCAAAATTGATAGAGAAATAAGATGCTTCCATGATAAAGAACACCTGAAGAAATTCATGACCACCAAACCAGCAAAGTTCTGAAGAATATTCTAGAAAAAGGCAAGAGAAAAGGTCCAAGAATCCCAATAGAATTAATCCACCAGGCAAAGCAAGCAATTAAATAGAAGGGAAAGAGGGCTGGGGATTTAGCTCAGTGGTTCCGCCACTTGCCTTGCAAGTGCAAGGTCCCAAGTTCGATCTCTGGTACCAAAAAAATACAAATAAATAAATAAATAAATAAATAAATAAATAAATAAATAAATGGGAAAGAAAGGGAACCAACAATAGGAAAATAATATAATGACAAGGATAAGTCAATACCTATCAGTTATAGTCACAAATGTAAATGGTCTCAGTTCACCAATCCAAAGAAATAGATTGGCAGAGTGGATCAACAAACGACCCAATAAAATGGATTTCAAGTCAAGACAGATAGGAAGAGACAAAGAAAGTACATGCTTGTTATGGGAGCAATCGAAGAGGAACAGATTATATATAGTCTCTGGCACACTGAACTACATAAAACTAATACTAGTTGATATGAAAAATCAGATAAACACTAATACAATTGTAATGGGGAACCTCAACATCTCACTGAAAGAAATAGATCTACTAGACAAAAAAACCAACAAAGAATGTCAGAGCTGAACCAAAACTTTGAACAAATGGATTTAGTAGATATCTACATTGTTCCACCCAACAACAGAATACACATTCTTCTCAGCAGCACATGGACTTTCTCTAAAATAGACCACCCACTAGCTCATAGAACATGCCTAAATATATAGAAATTGAAAGTATTCCATGCATCTAACATGCCTAAATAAATGCAAAGAAATTCAAATTATTCCCTGCATCTTATCAGACCATAATGCAATGAAATTGGAAATAAGTGACAAAAGAAAGCACAAAAACTGCACAAATACATGGAAATTAAATAATGTACTCTTGAATAACCAATGAGTCACAAATGAAATTAAAGAAAAAATTAGACAGTTTCTACAATTAAATAATGATGCCAATACTACATGCCAAAAATTATGGGATGCAGTGAAAGCAGTCCTATAAAGGAAGTTTGTAGCAGTGAATTCCCACATCAGAAAAACAGAGTGAACTCATATAAACAACCTAATGTTGAACCTCAAGGCTCTAGAAAAAGAACAAGTTAAACCCAAAGTCACTGAGCATGGCAATGCACACCTGTAATCTCAGCTCTTTGCATCTGAAGCAGGAGAATCATCACAAGTTTGAGGCCAGCCTAGTCTACATAGTGAGTTCAAGGCCAGTTGGAGCTGCATAGTGAGACCCTGTCTCAAACAAACAAACAAACACACACAAACAGCAAAACCAAAGCTCATATGCAGAAGGAAATTACAAAGATCAGAGCAGCAATTAATGCAATTGAGACCAAAAAGCAATACAAAGAATCAATGAATTGAGTTAATTTTGAAAGAGTAAATAAAATAGACAAACCCCTAGCCAGTCTTATCAAAACAATGAAGAAAAGAACCAAATCTATGAAATTAGGAATAAAAAGTGTGAAATCACAATGGATGCTACAGAAATCCAAAAGATCACCAATACCTACTTTGAGAATCTGTACCCTAATAAGATGGAAAATTCAGAAGAAATGGATGAATTCCTAGGTACATATGATTACCAAAACTGAATCAAGAAGATACAAAAATTCTACATAATCCGATATCAGCCAATAAATTTGGAGAAATAAAAATACAAAAACTACCAACAAAGAAAAGCCCAGGTCCTGATGGACTCACTGCTTTGTTCTGCAAGAACTTTAGAAAAGACCTAATGCCAGTACTCCTCAAACTCTTTAGCTTCATTAATTGAACATTTCTCTTAATGTAACCACCATTTATCCTGCACAGTATTATCCATGATTTGCAATTAATCATGCAGAGACTTCAGATAATTTAGGTAACTGTCCAAGGTGCGCAGTTAGTTAACACGTTGCATATCTATAATTCTGACATGGAAAAGTCACTTAACCATGAAGTTAAACTCTCCCCAAAGACATTAGTCTGTTTGAGAGAAAAGAGGGCAAATACTGGGTCATTTAGTAATAACAGCTGCCACAGAAAAAAGTTTGATAGACAAATATTCTAACTGTACTCTTGTATTTTTCTATTGAATTAAAAATAACACATCTCTGTTAAACATGATCTCTCTCCAATTTTTCTGCTTATTTCAGAAACCTTCAACATTTTTATTATTTCATAATGTACATATTAATTTTCATGTGAATTTTTAAAATGCATTGCCAGTACCAACTGAATTTATTTTAAATACCATTCTCTTCCCCTCAGTGGGTGTGATGGCATACTCCTATAACTCCAGCTACTGGGGAGGAAGCTGAGGCAGGAGAGTTTCAAGTTTGAGGCCAGCATAGGCAGTGAGATGCTGCCTCAAAAACAAAAGTTTTTAAATGGGGGGGTGGGATTGAAGCTATACCTCAGCACAAGGATCTGGGGGGAAAAGCTCTTCTCAACCTTGATTTTATGTGCACTTAGGTTCATGTTTTCTTCTAGTTAACAAGCATTATTCAAATAATAACTAATAATAAAAAATGTTTAATGACTGATTTTTACTAATTCTAACTACCGTACTTTTAGCAAGTAAGCTATACAACCTCTTTATCCTTAACATTTTCTGTCTTTTTCAACATAACTAAAATTAGGAATTATTCAAATCCCTCTACCATCTACAGCAAAAGTTTAGCATTCTCTTTGGCTAGTGTATGCCACTTTCTGATTCTTGTTGTATCATGTTGCATGGCCTTAGTTTGAACTTACACATTAATGCTAGTCCTCTCTGCTCAGTCCACTCCATTTGGTCCATAATCAGTTCCTTTTTATTCCTTCCTAAAAGATGTCAATTATATTCATAAAGCTGCTTATTTCCATAGTTTCATCACCTGTCTTCATCTATGCCATAACCTCATTTATCATCCACATCTAAACATTCAAATTTCTAATACTTTACAATCATCAAGGTTCAAATGAAGTTGTATGAAATAACTAGAAAGTAAATATCATAAACAACAGAGATATAAAAGTCTAAATACTGTCTGTTCTGCAAATTGACATGAGGTTGATATTAAAACTTGTAGTTTCACCATCCTAGTCTCTTTGTTTCAGGGATTTGTAATATGCCTATTATATTCCAGGCACTGACACACTGTTTGGTTTCATTCTTTCCCCAAATGGTGACAACATAAAAATTTTTTTTCTAAACTTTCAATTAAAAACTGCTGTAGTATGTGCCAAATACCAAGCTGTCCTTCCTGCCTGTATCATCTTTTGTATTATCACTCATACTCCCATAGTTTACCTTCCATTACCTTTCATCTTAACTCTTAAATCTGTGTGCTGCCCATCTCCTGTCTTTCAGCCACCTGTTAATCCTACCAAAGAGGCAGAGCACTGGGATGTTCATTCAGAGTAGTACTATCACCACCTGCTGATTTAGGTATGTCTAGGGTCTCAGAAGCTAGAACTTCCACCTTCAGAAATAGGGAGACCCAACACAGAAGTGACCCGAAGATGTGCCATAGAATTAAAAGAAGGCAATTCTTGTGAACCTTTTGATATCCTTTCAGAGAATATACATACACACTTACATATGTACAAAATTTTCAGTGTAATTTCAGAGAGAAACTTTGAAACCCTATCTTGAGCATTGAGATAAGAACTCTAGTTCCAGATACTGTAACATTTACTCTTGAACAATGCAAGCCAGAGTTGTGTACTTGTGTGAAATCATTCAAATGCCTTATAATATTGCTTCTGCTGAATTGCCCCATCCTGTGATTTTGGCTTACATTAGCAGATAATTGCAAAAGTTTATTTTCTGTCTGATAATAGAGGTCATCACCATTTATATCCTTCATACATAGTGTATATAATGCACACAGCATCTTACATATCATTGCACAGTACAAAGAGATACTTGCAATCTCACCTAGAAATCAATAGACTCTCCGCTAGCAATGTTCTATAAAAAATAAACCAGTCTTTGTAAACCACACTATTAATATAGCTCTCCTATTCTCAACCATTTTACCTTACTATTTCATAAATTATTTTGATGTTTTAGCAATATCACCAGTACTGAAGTGAAATAAAGCAGGATGCTTGTATCAACACCTAGACTCAGGTAATTAGAGTGAATACCTCAAGCCTGCCGTGGTGGTGGTGGTGGTGGTGGTGGTGGTAATAATCGAAATGAGAGAACCCCTACATGGTTGACATTTTTCCACACCACCTTCCTGGAAATTTTTTTTTTTTTTGCTAACCCAAGGACACTGTGGGCTTTGCTTTTATTAAGGGAAATGGTGCTCCTTTCAATTTTGCCTTTGTTTCTGCTAAAATCATGATAGTATTGCTCATTGAATAATTTCAAAGTAAAATCTTAATCCAGGCATTCTAGGCATTCCTACTGTTCTAAACTGTGCCTACAGCTCATCACTTCCTCTTCTACACATAGGCCTGTGTCGACGTCAAACTTCACAAGTCTGCTTTCAAGTGCTGGTGAGTACTCTGGTGTCTGTACCACTTTTAAGGTTCTGCAGTATGCCAAGAATTTGATTTTCTCAGATGCAATGCTTATTAAACTTATTTTGCTGTAATATGCTTTACAAATAATAAAATAGATAAAAATTATTAAATGGCTTTAATTAGTTTTGAGTTGTCTAAAACAGGCACACATATACTATGATTTACCAGTGGCAAACACTTTCATGATCTCACTTCAGCTTAGCTCTATAGTCTCATGTCTTTCAACACTTATCTTCACATACTGTTATCAAAATATTTAAAAATTCTGTGAATGAACTTTGTTCTAAATTTTTTATGCCATTACTCTCTTTACTTGGAATTTGCTCCTTCCTCCATACTTCACCTGTCTACCACCTTCTTCCTAGGTAATGATCCATTTTGGAGAAGGCTGTTTTTTCAGCTTTTCAATAGATTCTCTTAGCACTGCATTCAGAGACTTATTACCATACACTGTGTTTTATCTCTTGATCATTATCCAGCACCCAGCATGAGAAAGCAATGAAATAAATGAGTGTTGATGCTGTTTAAATATAGGTGCAACTGGTTTTGAAGAGTTACATGATGACTTATTGAAAATCATTAAAAACTTAAATCTTTGATTCAGTAATCCAAGAATCAAAACTTCAAATGCTTTCAGGGGTCAGGCAAGCAAAGCAAATGTGCAGTGTTGCATGAGAGAAGATAATAATGAGTACAGACTACTATACATGTCCATCCTAACCTGTTTACATTTTAATAAATACTAAGCCAAATAAACTATAATCTGTTTCATTGTTATTAAAACAATCTGATAAATAATTTTTTAAAAGAAAAAATATTATCTGTGAATGTATCTGTAATAAGGAAAAAATGAATTCAAATTAAATAGCTAGTATAGGAAAGTGATTAAATATTGATTATATCCACTAAATGTCATATATTCTTTAATATTAATCTCCTAAACCATAACATATGAAGAATGTTTTCACTGCTGAAAACAATGAAGGAAAAAGCAGAACTGCATGTTTGCTATAATTGTAGCCATGAAAAAATATGTTCATCATTTAAAAAGATGAGAATATGCAAAATGAAAACAATCCTATTAAAGCGCTCAGAATAGAAATTTTAGAAAAGAAATACAAATGATATCTTTCTAACTCAGCATCTACTATTGCTATTTTTTTCAATCTCAATCTTTGGGAAAAAAAGTGTTGGGGAAAATTGTTCAAGATCTTAGAGGACGACACCTAGCAAGCAGAAGCAGGCTACTTTGGATAAGAACTGAAGAATATGAATTGTGGGCTGAGATAGAAATACCATTGTCATAGCAACCACTGAAGATTTCACGGAAAAGAATGACTTGAATTTTTTTAGTGGGACTGACTAACAAAATTCCTTTTGAAATAGTTTGAATACAGTGTGGCATTTTATTTTTTTTTCCCCATTAAGTTTATTGCTACATTTTACATATAAAATACAGTTACAATCATCACTGGGATCTTGTACCACTACATGAGTATCTTGGTTCTTCTTTTTTTCCCCATTCCCCTGCCCTCCCTTCACCCCCTAGACCCTTCCCTAATTGCAAAGACTTTGTTTCCATTTTTTTCCTTTTTTCCTTTACCCTACCCCTCCCACTTCCCCTGCTCCTTTAGACCTTTTCTTCCTGTTACACAATATCAATTAAACATTTTTAAAATTACAATATCAAGATCTAGGAGACATTACCACAGATTTTACAGAATTTAAAAGGATAT